TAACACGGTACGCAGGGATGCACCGGGGGAATCGCGGCCAAGCACGCAGCCTGCAGAACGGACAGAACCCATTAAACAAGCATTAGGATGAGGCACATTTACTCGTTCTCGTTTACCCAGAATCTGTAGATCCCCCCCCCACATTAACTGAAGCTGGCAGCTTTGGAGAGACTGGGAAGAGCTTCCTAGATGTTACAAGCCATCCTATTGTTGTTGGCCACCAGCAACCTTAAATAAGCCAAGGCTGTAAGCGATAATTCAGCTCAACTAAAAGCTCCAGGCAAAAGTAGGGTCAGTCTCCTGACCAAAACATGGTTCAATTGGGGGGGGCTGCAGCAGCCTAAAACAATGCCAGCATTACAACCATGTAGTGGGGAGAGTTACCATTCTGCATAAATAAATAAAAAGTAACACCAAGCTAGAGTTACTCAGGAAACTGTCCAGAATCCCAGTTCATTCCCTCAAATTGTAAATTTCTGAGAATCTCCTGAATGCATCTCATAATACCAAGCAAAATAAGCAAGAACCTCCAACCCAAAATGATCAAACACATACCGGTGGCCTAGAAGGTGAGGTGAGGGGCAGCGTGCGAGGTGGGGGGAGGAGGGATGGAGGAGTCAAACTGGGAGCACATGCCTCGTTTCAGGAGGGTTTTTGAAAATAGTGGGGTTCCTCTACTGCCCCACACAGCGGAGCTAACAGGCATGGCTGAGGAGCAGGACCTGCGTCTGCGTCCTTCCAGGCCACAACCGTAGCCCGCAGAGAAGTGCCGCATTGACCACGCTTGAAGAAACAGCCACTTTACTAAGGCTCCCCCCATTTATAATGTCAGCAGATCGGTGCGTTATAAAGACTGAATGTTGCCGAGTCACCAGTAATAAAGAGAAATTCAGCTTGTTTTATGACCAGGTCCTGAGTTTCTTTTCCATTTGGGTTATTAGACACAATTTGCTTTCCGGAAATAAACGACCGGCAAAATGAGACCTGCTTTAAGTGCACTTAGCCCCCGGAATGGGGGGGGGGGATTTATCTAGTGTGAGTGACGTGCAAAGTTCCTGATGACAAGTGTCTTTAAAAACCAAGGGGGGGGGGTATCGCTTTCCCCAGCAGACATGCCTACAGGGGAATCTGGAGAAGAAAATAGGGGGAGGGACAATGTTCTCCAAATCCATCTCCAGAGTCATAATACACTGTGCCAGGGACCATGAGGAACCTGCTTCTGATATTAATACCTTCAACAAAAATGGAATTCCACAAAATGTAGTTTATTGACCAGGGTCATAGTACGGGAGTCATATGGCACAACATTATCGATAAGAGATCCTGACCCCCCACCCAAAAAAAAATAAATAAAAACAGGTTGAGGTTGGTTTATAACAGTGAGACAAAAGAATTACATCCGTCACATAAGGTATGGCATGTTGCATACAACATCTGTCATGTGACAGAGCGACCACAGCTGCACGATTTCAGCTGGTCTGGCACCGGACCTGAAATGCCGTCCAAATCCTTAAAAACACAGTGGCGGTTATTTTCAGAAATGGCCGACCGCTGAAGACATGCTCATGAGTGACGCCATTAACTGGTGAGCAGGCAGAAACCAGAACGGTGTGGTCAGGAAAAAATAAAAAATAAAAAATCACAGAGAGCTTAAACATGCAGGAGAAGTAGCAACATGGGAGACGCAGCCAAACAGGCCAGGGCTGTTTCCTGGGGCGAGGAACAGTCACAGCTTCTGAACACCATGTTCAAGGTGACCAGGAACGCCTACTCAGACACGGCTGAGCAGAAGACCCCGTGACTGCTGAGGGTGACCAAGATCATGTTAACTATGACCTCTGGCTTTCATTAGTCATGAGGAACACCCCCACCCCCCTACATAAAGCCTTTAAACCTGCGGGCTCTTCTAACACTCATTAATGTGGTGAGAACAGCCTCCATTTGCATATCTATTAACGGCCAATCGAAAATGCTTCTCAATGAAAGGCACAAGGACTAGGGCACCTCTGACCGTGTTCTGTGTTCACCGCCCTTCCAGGGCTTGTAGAAAAACGTGGGCCTCTTGCTTCCCATTGACTCTTCACACTCCCGACCTGACATCACACACCAGTACCTGCCGCCGATGTGGAGAGGAGCATCACGCCGGCCCACTCGCACGTGGCAGTGAACAGAGGAGCAGGCGCACAGCCTGTCAGGCAGGGGGCGGGATGCCGGTGTGGTGACAGCCACGCTCAGGAGCCGGCACCCTCAGGGCTGCGCAGGAACGCCCCCCCCCCCCCGCAACACAACTCTATGGGAATTCAACCCAAATCTGGATAGAAATTAACAGCATGGATCTTGGAAGATACAGCCAGGACTCAACTTAATCCAGTTCAATTAACGAGAGCCAGGCAGCAGTGAGCTGCATCGCAGCCCTAGTAACAAACGCTCTGAGAAGCTCTGACAGGCCAATCTAAAACGCCAGCAAAACAAAAGATGCATTTCCTCATAGCCGTACTACATTCATATTTAATTTTTTTGGCAGACACGCTTGTCCAATGCGAGGTACAAGTGAGACAGATAATTCATCACAAGTATAAAACTGTCAAGGAGCCAAGGAACATCATGCAAGAGATCACACCCCACTGGCTAATGTAAAATTGGCATCAAGGCTGCAAGCTTATGGACGCTTTCGTTTCAGAAACCCCCGCACAGTCCTGCTGTAACAGCACGCCACCGACAGGACTTACCCCTTAGCAACTTAGGAACTTTCCACATTTACACCCCATAAGCGTTTCCAAAGAGGGGTGTCAAATAGAAACACTCACAATTACTTATGCGTCACACAGAGATGAGGAACTCTTGTGAATTCTGGTTTAGGAAGCAGGTGTTATGCTTTCACACCACGAAAAGGTATATTACATAATCCACACACAGGAGGTTGTCTTTAATAAAGGAAGCTGGGGAAGCAGAGCAAGGCGACAGCGGCGAAGGAATTCCGGGGGAAAGTTAGTCTGGAGATGACAGGGTCTCCCACTCCGCTTCTCCCGCAGGAAGTAAAGGGCGGCTTTTAAGGCAGCCGAGCTGCTCGTGGGGGGGGGGGGAGGATCAGAGCCGAGAGCCGGCACAGCTCGAGCAGAAAGGCGCTCAGATCCGCCACCGGCGACAACGTCCTCCCCGCTGGCATCTGTACCGCTGCCTCCATGACACGCGCGGTCTGGCACGACCCAGGAGCTCTGGCACTCACGGCTGCTGGTCACAGCCACCCGCCCACTCACCCTCCCTCCAGACAGGGAGAAGGCGGGGGCATCTCGACAGGGAAGCCTCCCCCCCTCCTCAAAATCTCATTCAGCTCCTCGCTTCCGTTCAGTTCCATGTCCGTCTGCCCGCTGTTTCCCGGTACGATGCCCAAACACAAACATGGCACACGAGTGCCAGGCTTTCTTCGGATGGCACATTCAGTGCCGCCGTACCTAAAATGGTGAAGGACTCTGCTGTGTGTGAATGGGGGGGGGGGCACCAACCATCTCGGTTACTTTTGAATGCATTTGTGGGATGAAATTCCGAACAAAGCTTGCAATGTGCACATTCATCTTTATAGGACTTTTTACATGTACTGTGTTCATTCTAGGACATCATTACCTACTGAGCACCATCAGAGAGGTCAGAATGACAATGAAGAATTCTTAATGTGAAAATATTTACTTAAATACCATATTTCAATGAGTGGAGTCATGTTGTGACTTAAAACATCCACAAAACACAGAGGATCCCTTCGATTACGGGGGTCACACATGCCTCCAGGACTTCACGAAGAGCAATCAGAACCTTGCTATGCGGGACAGAGAGGGCAGAGAAATCCCTAATTAGCATCACAGTGTCGACATTATGACTGAAGTGTTTGTGAATCGGAGGCAGAGGCGGCTGGAGCAAAAGGAGCCGACGTGGCAATGGCAAGTGGGGACTCGGCAGACCACGACCCCGACCCTCAACCGTTAAGACAAACTCAAGATGTTAGTCTGCAAGGGGTAAAATTAAGTGATATTTCATAATGAAATAAGAAATAATTCATTTTTTAAAAGCCCCATTTCACAGCATGACCAGAAAGTTCTAAGAGAAACGCTATAAGGAGCCAATAGATAAATCACTAGTTGGCAGAATTGAACCGTCGTTGCTGCTGGACAAATGAAATGTCTGAACAGGCTATTCTAGAAAGGGAGGATAACGGAGAATCATTCAGGTGAGCTGGACAAGACAGTTTTTTTTTTTTTTTTAATAAGTCTTAGCTTAAAGCCAAAGGTGACTCATTAGAATAAAATCTGTCACCAGCAGGCAAATGGTCCCAGTAGCGCTATTCTCCTCAGTTCAGACTAACACGAGAGATAAGGCCGTCAAACACTGACACGTTCCCCCATGGGTTCGGGGTGTCGCTCAAACTGGGTCTATTTGGGTTCGACGCCGCTCAGATTCGGTGCCGCCTCAGCCACTGGATTTCTGACATCGGAGCTGCAGTATGATCCCATCGTCAATTCGGACCCAAAAGGGCACTTTGGTCGATGGCACTGGTGACATTTGGAGTAGCTATTGAGAGTAAAACGATTCCACAGGACAGGGACTCCAAACGAGCAGGTATCATTTCCCATCATCGACAGGGAATCTTTCATGGCAAAATCAGTGTAAATATGACGGACTGTCGCAGCTCTGAAACCCTGCCAGCCACAGGTAGGAGATCCGATTCCCGGCGGAGACCTGCCACCGGCCAGCTGGCGACGGAGAGGTTTACCGTCCCCGCACATGGACCCGCTGGCACCCATGCGCTGACCGACGGAGCCGCGCCGCCATGCAGCCGCCGGCCCTCAGCAGACACCGGATCGGGGGGAGGAGGGGGCGGGCGGACTGGCTGGCTTGTTGCTAAGCCGAATCCAATCCCCGCAGGAGCCAACGGGGATGGCCAGGAGCACCCCCCGCCGCCTCTATTGGGACCGGGGGGGCGATAGACGGCGCCTCGGGTGCGATCTTACCTAGCTTCCCACGGGACTCCTCCAGCTTCTGAATCTGGTTCTCCAGGAAGAGGGTTGCCACGGCGAAGGCGAGCAACGCCAGGAGCTGAAACTTGGGCGGCATCATAATCCGTAAAAGCCCCATCAAACTATCGGATCGCAGCGAGTCATACCGTGGCCGATCAAAATGTATATATATAAAACCAAACCAAAACCGGCAGGACGGCAGGCGAACGGTGGAGCCGGGACGCTGGGGGTGCCCCGGTCCGGCGGGTCTCCCCTCTGGCTGCAGCAGCCAGTCGCTCTTATTATCACTGTTACTGAAATTATTTTATTCACACTGTGCTTCCTTCAGGTGCGTCAGGGTTCTACGCCACAGAGACCACGCTCACACCCCTCCTCGTTCCTCCGTGCGAAGGTACCGATTCAGCCCCGGTCCGCTTCTGCCGAACCCGGTGCGATTCGATTCGGTTCCGATCGGTTCGTTCCGATGTACACTTTCCCTGGCGAGTAGGCGACCGCGACGAGAGTGCGCCGTGCGCGTGTCCTCCCACCAGCGCGAGGGGTACAACCATTGGCCAGCTCAGCTCCCCGCAGGCGCACTACGCCGCGGCCGCTAGTCAGCTTTAAAGGAGCTGTAAAAAAAAAAAAGGCAGGCGGCGATTGGACGCTTCGGATGCCGTATTTCCGGCTGCCGCTGCTCATCTGGGGAGGGCTGAAGGAGTGCCTGAGCAAAAACACACGCACACAGCAACGATTTCCGTAGAGAACCGTTACATATGTAATGTGTCAAGGTACTTAAAACTAATGGTGGGCATATGTAACTTTGGATTAGTTAAGGTCATTATAGGTAGAGTTTGTGGCTCAAGTTTGATCGTTAAATACAGACCAAGATTGGAAAACTAACAGGCACGTGCGAGCGCCACTTTCTTTTGTAAGGGTCCTATGCCCCATCCCCCGGGAAAAAAATACATTCCAAGATGGCGGGGGAGGTCTACCTCTTTTGGTTCTTGTCGATATTGCAAGCGGTAAATACATTATAAAATTGATTGCAATTTAATAAAATTATGGAAGATTTGTTCATCAGATAAATGTCTAATATCGTTAGTGTAGACAGACATAATTTAGGCGTTGTTGGTGCTCGATGTATGAGATGCTTTTCAGTCGGAAGTGAAGCCGGCTGCTATGACGTGGCTTTTAATGGAAAAGTTTGTTTAAAGCCAGAACAAAACAACTTGTGTAAATGATCCGTGCAACAGCAGTATTTCGCCGTAAAATGTTTCACTAGGCTGATTAATCTGTGCTAGACTTGCGAATATATATCGCTTATAAATAGGACGTTGTACGTATTATGTAACTTAATATTAGTAGAAATTAAAATGTCTTTCAGTCTGCGTTTAAACAGCTGTTATTAATGTGTGAAAAGTTTTTACATTATCAGAAACATTTTTCATTAAAGTGGCATGAAATTAATTTCATTAACCATGTCCTTTGTTGCGAAAATATCTTCTCTGAATCCGCTAGAGTTACCTAGTGACGGCACATTTGTGGATGTTGTCGGCACCCGTTTGTGTTTTCTCACCTGCCCTGGCCCACTGGGTTCTCCATTAAAGTCTATTTTTGATCAGCGGTGCTGGAGACCACCCGGCGTTTTGGTGGGTGTCGTGTGTGGCGTTCTGCCAGCTGAGAATCCAGCATAACTATTAATTTCAGGTGTCACATTTGCTTAGTGTTCACAATAAATGATTTTGAAGGTTTCGGAGTATTCCCGTACCTCAGTATTAAAGTACCTATTTATCAAAAAAAGAAACGTGCATTGAGTGCAGCGTAATGAACATGTAAATGATTTTGGTTCTTAATCCAAACCTACTTATTTTGTTTTTTGCAAAATCACTAAAATGATAGTGGAGAACAGGACTGTATAATAAGCCTCACCAGGCAGGGATGTAGTGGGACACATCCATTTCAATCGTGGTGCTTTTGGGTCCATCTAAAAGTGTCAAAACGAAAGCAAAAATTGTTCATGTCAGCCAGGAAGCTGAAACAGGAACTTAACTGCAGTAATTCAAGCACTTTTTAAATTTTTTTTCAAGGTTTTCATAAATACTCAATTTGTAAGGGGAAGGTCAGAAATTTCCATAATTCATTAATTTCAGCAGCATGGGGCACGGCGTGGGAGAGAGCCGAGAGCAGGCGTGCCGGTTGTAGCCCTGCCTGTGCATTCCGGCTCCTGCCTGTCAGCTGGCGCCCAAAGCAGAGATCCTAATAAAGAGAGGTGATGTCACAGCTGGAGGCACCCGGGGTGCCCCTCACATCGAGCACCAGTTTAACGACATCGTTTGTTTTGATAGAATGAGACCGTCGGTGACCAGCTGAGGGGGGGGATTGAAATCCCCGCACCTTGCCTCTGGTGTGGAGGGGGAGTGTACTTGGTGTCTTATTTCATTTACTGCTCCCTGCTCAGATATCGTCCTATGGCGCCGAGCTGTCCTCCGAGGCCTGCAGAGAACTGGGCTTCTCCAGCAACCTCCTGCGCAGCTCCTGTGATCTGCTGGGCCAGTTTGGCCTGACCCAGCTCGACCCGTTCTGCAGGCAGTGCTGCCAAGAGGAAGCCCAGGTCGAGGCCAGGAAGGTGAGCCTCCATACCTCTGCTCTCCATGTTTAATATGCATTGGGGACACAGGAAGCTCTGCTCTTCATTTGGTTTCACATATGGTATTTCTGCCTGGGATAAAGTGCTTATAAACCTATGAGAGCAGGTTTCCTCCTGTACTGTCAACCTCACTGCCTACTGGACTTTAACCAGCCTGTTCTGCACCTTTCTTATGCTGTTCTACAGCACCCTCAGGCCAGTCTGTCGTATGGCTTTCAATTGAAGGCAATAACAGGCCAGAACATTTCCATTGATTTTTAATCACTTTTCCAGTCTGCAGTGATGTGGCAGGAATTATATGCTGTCTTCTGTCTTATGCTCTGTGGTGTCAGTTCTGCCATCATTGGCTATAGGTTTTAGATATGAATATCCTAAAGCCAGATATTCCTTGGGTCTGCTCAGGCTGTGTCTGTCTTTTTTTCACTAAACCTGGTAGAATGGTACGTGTGGCCCAGCAAAAATGGGATGTATAGATTATCTGTAGGATTTGTTAGGGATTGCTGTGCCCTTGATCCTATTTTCCCAGTCAGCCAATAACCAGTAAGTTGAAGCACTTTTGGCATCCAGGTAAAGAGGCAGACAGGAAATCGATGGCTGCCTCACATGTGCATGCTGGCGTCGCTGTCCGCCCTTGCCTGAACGCACATGCTGCTGTTTCACACATGGCCGTCATGCATCATCGTGTGCCTTATGGGCCAGCCAATTGTGGAGCCCGTATCTCTAGAGGCACTCCCCCTCTTGGCTCTCGTCCTAAGCTCCGCCCCCTCGATGCCTCTAGCTCTGTCGGTGTAAAACAAAGAGGGATGAGTGGGCGGTCAGGCCAGCTGGGCGTGAAATTGAGGCAGAGCCTCTCGGTACCTGAAGCGGCACCTCTGAGAACGGTCCAGCCGCCGTCCTGCCCGACTGGGGGGGCTACAGCAGGCGGCTGTGGAAGTGATCACCCCCAACCCCCAACTAGAGAAGGCATCCATCTCCTAGACTGGTCTCTGCATATTGTCCAGCCCTGTTTCGCTCCATTTCCATTGACTCCCTTGGACTACATAAAAGGCCCATAAGGTTTGCTCATTTACAGAACCAGGCCATTTGCCAGTGTGAATTGGGTCCATGGTCCTCGTGGGCCACATAAAATGCCCATGGTAAGGGGAGGAATAAGGTGTTACGGTGCCCCCTCCTGTTGGAGCAGACAATAGCAGGCGTTAGTATGGTAACGTATTGCTGTCCTCATCTGTGTCCCGGTGCTGTGATGTCTGGATAGGGACGTCATCGGTCACCCCTGCACTACAGCTGTCTAATAAGGATCCTAAACCTTTCCAGTATTTTGGAGGCGGAATCATATCAGAGCTGGTGTCACGTTGGGGACCCCAGAGTGGGACAGCGATAAAATTTGGGCAAACCAGAAGCGAGTCTCGCGTCGACATGGTCACTGCGCTCTCAGGCTGTGTTCGGGGGGGCATTTACACATGCCATTATGGAATCGTGTGCCGTGATGTAGAAGATATCAATGAGATGTTGCATGTAGATGAATGTACAGTGACTGACAGCTAATTATTACCCACATGAATCCATCTCCCCCCCCCCGGCTTTTCATCAGCATCCAGCTTAGAGTGAATTTAGCGACTGGCCGTTTGTTTGTGTGCTGTTGGAAAGGCCTGCCGTGCGTGTGTTCGAGACCGAGCGTACGCCCTTCTGTCTCCCTCAGCATTACCCTGGTGCTATCCTGGAGGTGTGTGGATGAAAACTCGGAAGGTTCCCCCAAGTCCAAGGTGAGTGATGCGGTCAGGAGCTAAACAGCAGCCGGTGCAGTCGCTCGCTCTGAAGGCCTGTCCTGCGCATCCTTTCCTGTGTGTTCTGTGCCCTGTGTTATGGTAGAATTCCTGCTCAGACAGTGAGGTCTGGAGGACATGAAGGTCTGCCACACCTGAGACAGATCATGCTGTTAATGGGAGGGACAGACCCCCATTATTCCTAGGATATGTGACAGCATCTAGGGCGGAGGTTAATGCTCAGGCTGTCCTAGGCTATAGCCCAGATCCCGGGCAAATATCAGGGCCCCACCACACCTCGGTGAAAAGGGTCTATGCTGGAGTTATCCTAGGGCCCCCAGTTAGGGTAATCCAACCTAAAAAATAACATTCATAATGAACCATAGGAGAAGACCTGATAATCTGCTGTCAGAAAAATATTTTGTAAAAAGTTTAAGACCTTTTAGTTGGGTGCGAATCATGACATGTGTCACCCAGCCGTCACCACGACGACACTAATGGCACCCAGAACGGCAGAACTTACCCTCCTACGTCGACGTGTCCTTCTTAGTTATTTACCCGCCATCTGCGGAAATGTCACCAGAAGGCTGCATTCTGACTGCCTGCCTGAAGGCGTTTTGGCAATGTGTGAGTGACCGGCGTTGGAGCACCGTGGTAAAATCCATGTCGTCGAATAATCATGGTATTGTGATGCATGGCTGTACGCGAGCGTCTCGGTCACCTGCCCCCCTCATCTGTGTGGATGTGCTCCGACCCTGCACCCCCTCCCTCGTTAGAGGCCCATGTACGTCCTCCCAGGTCTCTGTCATGTACTGCATTCGTTGTGACTATTGTCCTTTTTTCAGCTTTTGTCAGGAGCGACAAGCCAAAGATGTTCAAGGGTCTTCAGATCAAGGTAAAGACCGGAATCTTCTGTCTGGCAGGCAGCCGCTGCACCTTGTGATGGGTGTTTCTGTCTGAAAATGGGCCAAATCGTTAATCCTGGGGGAGAAGCGCCGACTTGAGCTGCCCCTCCGCCCACACGTGGATCCCAGCTTATTAGCTGGGAAATCATGTGGAATTCTGATTATTACACGGAGACGTTTCAGTGTCGGCCTTTCGTGCCGTCAAGTTAAAGGGGTTTATTGTTCATCTAGGGAAGGTGAGAGCTGACAGACTCCTCTGCCCTTAAGTGGCACATTTATAAGCCGTCAAGGCAAAGCTGCATCCCGTCAGGCCGCTTCGCCAAACCCCACACCCGCAGTGCCATGTCGACCAGGGGAGGGTGTCTGTACAGGGCACCTCTGCCCCGGGTGCCCCCCCGCACCTGCGGATGGCACCGTGGCTGCCCTCACGCTGGGCTCCTTTGCGAGCGCCGGGGCTCGTTAAGCAGACAGTGACGGATGAGCCCCCCCTCCAGCCCGGAGGAGTCGCCCTGATGGATGGATGTGAGCGGGTGGAGGCGGCATGCAGCCCCAGACCCGGCCGGGGGCCCTCGCCACTCGCCTGCCGCTCCTCGGGCTAATTAATTATCCGTAAAACGCACTCGGCCGAATGCAATTACCGGGGCTCTTTAATTGGAGAAGGTGCAGGAGCATGATAACTGTAATTACTTTCATAAAAAGTGGAGGCTCAGGCAGGAACGCTAATGGAGAGCAGTGTGACGAACTGCCATTCCCCCCCCCCCCAACCACTCGGTCGCAGCAAAATGTCTCTGAAAATACATCTGGGTGCTGCTTGCAGGGTTCAGTTGATAAACACACAGCTTTCTTAAGGTGACGGACAGAGTTGGCACATTTACATTCGCATCTTTACAGCTGGAATCCAGTACAGACAGGATGTTCCTGAAGTCGGATGTACAGCTGCGTGGCGTGAATTATGAGAATTGCGGTTCCGGGCCAAGCTATCTGTGGGATCTGAACCCAAAACCTTCCGCTTATAGGCACCGACCAACAACCACTATTCTAGACCGCACCCCAAACTGTACTGTTACCCGCTCTGCACAGGTTGTGTTCACAGGGGTGTAATGATCGTCTGGGTTTATAATCTGGGCCCCCACCTACATTCTCCTGGTGACATGTTCACCCCAGTTTGAAATGCTAACGGTACGATGTAGGTTCTGCTGTTAGTGCTGGAGCAGTTGGGTTACAGTGTGCAGCATGATGCTAATTGATGTAGTTCATCACGGCACACTTGCTAACGCTGCTTCCATGTGTCTGGTCCCCTCATGATCGCTCCCAAGCAGCCAGTCCTCCATCTGATGCCTGCCTCCCTTACCCCCCCCCCGCAGTACGTCCGAGGCTCCGACCCCGTACTCAAGCTGCTGGACGATAACGGGAACATCGCCGAGGAGCTCAGCATCCTCAAGTGGAACACAGACAGTGTAGAAGAGTTCCTGAGTGAAAAACTGGACCGCATATAAACGGTCCAATCAGTTGGATTTAGACTGTAACCCCCCTCCCCCCCTCCATGTCCCTGGAGTCCCTTATTGCATTTTGTAATGTCGTGATGCTGTGTCCCCCCCCTCCTGGGATTTGAGCACATCACCGCCTGTAACCGTTTTACCGGTCATGAATCAACACACCTTTGAATGATTCTGTAAGATGCTCGGATCCGTCTCCCCTGTGCTGACTGGCCTTTAACTCGCAGGACAGTCTGATCAGTTCATATGATGCTGTGTGCCGATGCTGCTTATTTCCATGTCTCTCTCTCTGTGGTGTTTCGGGTCAGGCTGTATGGTTCTGTCCCGCTGGGCTGAGCACGCGTCAGTGACGGCCTCACAGTAAACCAGTTCTGGCATGTGGGGCCTGATGTAGCTGTGTGTTCGCAGGGCGCCCCCTTCAGTTGGAAGGTGGACAGAGTTTGTAAAGCAGCCATAATAAAAATGAATGATTAACAGTAACCGGCGTTACTCACTGGGAGTCATTTACACACAGACACACACCTTCTGCAGTTCATGACCCATACGAAATGAACACAACTGATATTGCAGTGAGTTTGACACTTTCCACATTGTATAAAAGGTTTTCTTAGGGTTACAGATGTGAAACTTGAACACCCATAATTGCCTTTTGACCCCAAACACTAAAATGTGCTCCAGTTTTTGCACTCATGGACAGCATTTATAGGATTTCCACTGAATGCATCTTCGAGGCTTCTGGGATCTGGTAGTGGTAAGAATAGCATTTCAAAGAATAAACTTCATTTCCTCTTTCACTCCAGCGCCCCCTGCTGTTCATACTGAAAATAGTCTAACATTGCTGTTCTTATAGTATGACCGGAATGTAGTGGAAGTTGCACAAGAAGCCTAGACCAGCATTAGAGGATGTGAATGGAGCTTTTATTGGCCTCCATGCTGGAAAGTGCACATTCCCCCGAGCAGCATTCCCTTCTTGTTCAGTTACAGTGTTAGATACATGAACAAAACCTACATTCAGGACAAGCATTATGTCCATGTATAAATGAGCTCTGCAGTCAATGTGTGTCAATCTCATTCTGGAGAAGTAAGTCAATCTGGACCTCAGTTTCTTCCCAGAATTTCACTAGACAAGCGTTTGGGTTTGGCCATCATCCTTAATCCAGGCTCATGTCAGTCATTTGATGTACAGGAAGTGATGCAACCGCCACGACCTGCCGCATGATGACATGCTGTTAAAAATGCACCGGTCACAGTGCATGTTAGAGTAAGAAACACCAACTGGCATTTACACTGGATTTTAAAGAGACGGCACTGGCACTGCAGTAACATTTGTAGGCAACCTGTACCGGATAAGAGGTCCAGGGAAATTAATAATATGACAGCCCCCAAACAGGTATACGACAGCTTCTCCACCCTGAAAAAAGTCAATTTCCACTAAAAAATGAATAAAAAAAATTAATCATGAATCTGCTTCCTGAACAACAATAATATATAATACTGTACTGTGGTCAATGTTTGTCATTACGATTACAGTGCTCAGAGTTTCAATGCTGTTACTGCAATGGAAACATTCACTGGGCAGATTTTTAACGGAACCCTGTGACCCCAGGTAAAGAAGAAAGGAAACAGTCTCTCAGCGAAAGAGTGTTTAAAGGTGTAGAGAGGAGTGTTGTTACTGGGATCAGAGAATGACAGCTCTCCCCTGTCCCAGTCCAGCTGCACTCTGATCCTCTGGGGTTTCCTCTCCACAGACAGAGGGTACGGTGGTGAGGTCCATGCTGCCAATTTACCTTTATAACGTGTTATGACCCATAGTCCTCCATTTGCTTTGGGAAGGACGTCCCCTTTCCTGTTGATGGACTCATTAGCCACACCCACAAAGTATAATTCCGCGTCCCCCACATCCACATCCCAGCAGTGTTTCCCTGAGCTGAATCCCTCAGATCCCAGCACACAGCGCCATGTAAACCTCTCTGAGTTATTAGGATATTCCTGTATCTCATTACTCCAGGTAATAGTATTCAGATGATCGGACAGTATGAGTTCAACATCTGCTGTGTTTGGGTCCAGAATCACAGGAGCTGAATGGAATCAGAGAGAAAAATTAGAATTCAAACAACTCCATCTGCACAGAGAGATTATGGAACTGCTCCATTCTGACATCTTCTACTCACTGTATTTAATCTCTTTCTTCTCCAGCATCTTCTCCCACACTCTGTAGCTCAGGTTGCCCAGGTGTTTGGCCACATTAATCAGGGCCCCTGAAACCTCCTCTGGATCCCGCACTGGGCACTGGGCTCTGTAACAATGTCCAGCATTAACAGTAGATGTTTCACCCTCTGCCCAGATGTCAGCCCCACGGACAGTAAGCAGTCTGAGGCTCATCTACAGGAATCTCAAACTAACTCCATAATGGCAATTTTTTACAACCATGAAAACA